ATCACGGAGCGAAGGAAAACAACATTCCACATATCTAGCCAAGTCCCCTGTGTGTGGCAGGCATAAATGCCCGACTAGAAGAGCCCAAGTGAGATCATCTTAACAAATTTAAAAATTGTCATTTTGTGTCTTAAAATGAGTGTGGCTGACCACTGATCTGAATTCTCAGGCCAAAAGCACCAGCTGTAATTCCACACTGTAGTGGTCTCAGTTCTGGGGACTCTTGGCAGCACAGACACTTCACAGCTGCACCCCCATCCTCTTGTTTGGATTTTACCATTGCCTGCAAGAAGGATCCCTAAAAATGCCACTGTATTTAGATCATTTGCATCTCTACAGCGTCTATGGTGTGGCAGGCACTGTCTCAGGCACTTTACATACACAAGCTGAGAATCTTGATAATATTTTTACAAAGTAGTTATTACTGCTTCAATTTTCAGATGAAAAAATTATTCCCTGTGGTTAAGCCCAGTAAAGGGTTCAATTCAACAAGAACGCCTAACTACTCTAAATATATATGCACCCAGCACAGGAGCACCTGAATTCATAAAGCAGATCTTAAGAGACCTTCAAGGAGACATAGACTCCCACACAATAATAGTAGGAGACTTCAACATTTCACTGACAGTGTTAGATCATTGAGACAGAAAACTAACAAAGATATTCAGGACCTGAACTCAACACTGGACCACAAAGATATGAGAGACCTCTATAGAACTCTCCAAACCAAAACAACAGAACATATATTGTTCTTATTGCCACATGATACACACTCTAAAATTAACCACATAATTGGACACAGTATTCAGCAAAAGCAAAAGAACCAAAATCATACCAAATACAATCTTGGACCACAGCACAATAAAAATAGAAGTCCAGACTCAGAAAATCACTGAAAACCATGCAATTTCATGGAAATTACACAACATTCTCCTGAATGACTCTAGGTAAATAATGAAATTAAGACAGAAATCAAGAAGTTCTTTGAAACTAACAAGAATAAAAATACAATATGCCAGAATCCCTGGGTCACAGCTAAGGCAGTGTTAAGAGGAAAATTCATAGCACCAAATGCCACATTGAAAAGTTAGAAAGATCTCAAATTAACAACCTAACATCACAATTAAAAGAATTGGAGAAGTGAGAACAAATCAGCCCTAAAGCCAGCAGAAAACAAGAAATAACCAAAATCAGAGCTGAAGAAAATACAGATACGAAAAACCATTAAAAAGATCAACGAATATATTTGTTGTTGTTTTTTAAAAGAAGATAGGCTGCTAGACTAATAACGAAGAAAAAAGAGGAGGCTCAAATAAAATCAGAAATGACAAAGAGAATGTTACGACTGCCCCCACAGGAATAAAAATAACTATCAAAAACTACTATGAACACCTCTATGCACACAACATAGAAAACCCAGAAGAGATGGATAAATTCCTGGACACATATACCCTCCCAAGACTGAACCAGGAATAAACTGATTCCCCGAACAGACCAATAACAAGCTCTGAAACTGAATCAGTAATGAGTAGCTTACCAACCAAAAAAGCCCAGGACAGATGCATTCACAGCTGAATTCTACCAAATGTATAAAGAAGAGTTGGTACTATGTATACTGAAACTATTCAAAAAAGTTGAAAAGGAGGGGGCTCCTCTCCAACTCATTCTATGAGGCCAGCATTTCATTCTATGAGGCCAGCATGTCATTCTATGAGGCCAGCATGTCATTCTATGAGGCCAGCATTATCCTAATACCAAAACCTGGCAGATACAACAACAACAAAAAAGAAAACTTCAGGCCAATATCCTTGATGAACATCAATGAAAAAATCCTTGGCAAAATTCTTTCAAGCCAAATCCAGCAGCACATCAAAAAGGTAATCTACCACAATCAAGTAGGCTTCATATCCTGGATGCAAGGTTGGGTCAACATACACAAATCAGTAAATTTGATTCATCACATAAACAGAACTAAAAGACAAAAACCACATGATTGTCTCAATAGATGCAGAAAAGGTTTTCAATAAAATTCAACACCTCTTCATGTCAAAAATTCTCAATATACTAGGTACTGAAGGAACATACCTCAAAATAGTAAGAGCCATCTATGGCACTCCCATAGCCAGCATCATACTGAATGGGTAAAAGCTGAAAGCATTCCCCTTGAAAACTAGCACAAGACCAGGATGCCATCTCTCACTGGTTCTAGTCAACACGGTATTGGAAGTTCTGGCCAGAGCAATCAGGTAAATAAAGGGCATCCAAGTAGTAAGAGAGGAAGTCAAAGTACCCCTGTTTGTAGATGATATGCTAGAAAACCCCAGTCTTGGCCCAAAAGCTCCCTCAGCTGATAAACAACTTCATCAGAGTCACAGGATACAAAATCAAAGTAAAAAATCACTAGCATTCCTACACACCAACAACAGCCAAGCTGAGAGGCAAATCAGGAAGGTAATTCCATCCACAACTGCCACAAAAAGAATAAAACACCTAGGAATACATCTAACAAGGGAGGAAAAGATCTTTACAATTAGAATTAGAAAATGTTCCTCAAAGAAATCTGAGAACACACAAACAAATAGAAAAATATCCCATGGTCATGGAGAGGAAGAATCAATATCATTAAAATGGCCATACTACCCAAAGCAATTTATAGATTCAATGCTATTCCTACAATGACATTCTTTACAGAACTAGAAAAAAACTACTGTAAAATTCATATAGAATCAAACGAGAGCCCAAATATCCAAGCCATCATAAGCAAAAAGAACAAAGCTGGAGGCATCATATTATCCAACTTTGAACTATACTGCAGGGCTACAGTAACTGAAACATCATGACTTTGGTATGAAAACAGACACATAGACCAATGGAACAGAATAGACAGCCTGGAAATAAGGTTGCACACCTTCAACCATCTGATCTTAGACAAAGCTGACAAAAATAAGCAGTGAGGAAATGACTCCTTAGTCAGTAAATGGTGCTGGGATAACTGGCTAGTCATATTTGAGGACTAAAGCTGGACCCCTTCCTTATACCATATACAAAAGTCAATACCATATGGATTAAAGACTTAATTGTGGAACCCAAAATTATAAATACCCTGGAAGACAACCTAGGCAATATCATCCTGCACATAGAAATGAGCAAAGGTTTCATGATTCATGGAATTTCTGCAACAAAAGGAGAAACTGACCAATGGGATCCAATTAAACTTAAGAGCTTCTGCACAGCTAAAGAACTATCGTCAGAGTGAAGGGAAAACCTACAGAATGGGAGAAAGTAACGTCTGACAAGGGTCTCATACCCAGCATCTATAAGGAACTTAAATTTACAAGAGAAAAACAACCTCGTTACAAAGTGGGCAAAGGACAGACACTCTACAAAAGACATACATGTGGCCAACAAGCATATGAGAAAAGCTAAATATCACTTACCAATAAAGAAATACAAAGCAAAACCACAATGAGACACCATCTGACATCAGTCAGAGCGGCTATTACTAAAAAGCCAAAAGATAACAGATGCTGGTGAGTTTGTGGAGAAGAAGGAACGCAGATGCACTGTTGGTAGGACCATAAAGTGGTTCAACCCCTGTGGAAAGCAGCGTGGTGATTCCTTAAAGCATAAGAACTACCATTTTAACCAGGAATCCCACTACTGGGTATATATCCAGAGGAGCACAAATCATTCTACATTCTACAATAAAGACACATGCATGTGAATGTTCACGGCCGCACTCTTCACAAAAGCAATGACATGGCATCAACCTAAGTGATCAAAGGCAGACTGGAGCATGAGGTAGACCTACACCACGGAATGCTATACAGCCATCAAAGCATATGACCCACGTCCTGTGCAGGAACATGGATGGGGCTGAACATTACCTTTAGCAAACTAACCAGCAAGAGCAAAACAAACACCGCATGTTCTCACAAGTGGGAGCTAAATGACGAGAACTCTTGGACACACAAAGGGGAACAACACACACTGGGGCCTATCGGAGGGTGGAGTTTGGGAGGAGGGAGAGTATCAGGAAACTTAACTATGGGTACTGGGCTTAACTAAACCTGGGACATGAAATAATTGTATAACAAATCCCCATGACATGAGTTAACCTATGTAAGAAACCTACACATGTACCCCCGGAACCAAAAAGAAAAGTTAAAAAAGAAAAAAAACGAAGCACACCCAAGGTCATACAGAAAATGGGGACTGGAATCTGAACTGGGGGAGTCAAGCCCCCAAATCCACACCCTTCACCACACACTGTGCCGGGTCTTCAGAGAGCCGAGGAAAGGGATTGCCGCCATGACTCTTGGAGAGCCATGGGACGCCGAGCAAGTCGGATATGAAGCCACAGCTCTCCACATTTTCTTTGCATTTAAGTTATTTCCATAGCTCAGCCGTCTCTGCATGTATAGCCCTGCCATGAGTGACGTTCTGGGCTCAGTGAGGCAGAGGAAGGCCTGGGCAGAGCGTGGCCCGGGGTCGGACACTGTGGCGTGCAGATGGCATCTGCGTGTGGAGCACGTTTTCAGCAAGCACGGGAGAGGCTGCTCAAACCCACGTCTGACCCTCAGCTGGCAGATGCGTCTGACTTAGCCAGCCAGGGCACCAAACCCTCATACTCCCTGACCTCAAAGCACCGAAAGCACCATCCACAGGGGAGGGCCCTAAGGACAGGTAGTGTGAAGACAGACAGTGCAGAAACTCACAGCACTATCTGTCTTTTCATTCCCCCCTAGATTGGGGAAAAATTTTAATACCTTAAAACTTTTTTAACACCTTAAAACTTGGGGAAACCTTCCCCACACAGTAAGTTTGGAAACCATTCTCCAGAAAGGCAGCCAGACAGGACTGACAGTTACAGCCAATTCATTTCCCACCAACTTTCCAATCTCTTCTTCCAATGTAAGATCTCCACTTCTGCACAGTGTCCTTTCTATCCTTTGACATGGCTGGGAAAAAACCCTGAAATTAGGACCATTTCTTTAAAAAAAAAAAAAAAAAAACAGTAAAAAGAAAACACACAAGTTGGTGTTCTGCCCCTCTGGAAACTTGAGCTCAGCCACGCCTTTGCTTAAAGGACTTTAGGAGGGAGAACTGAGCCCACGACCCAGGGTTACATTCTGTGCGCACCCCTAGTCTGTCTGCCTCTCATGTTCCCCACCGCCACCCAGCTACAGACATTTGACAGCTTAGGGCGGTTCGGGGTCAGCAAGGCCTCTGCCAAACACAGCATGTGGGTGGAAACACGGCATGGAGGTGCCGTCACTCACAGAGGGGGACGGAGAATGGTGTCCCTGGCACAATTAAAATGAATAATGGCAAATGCTATGTGTGCTTTATAAAAACAGCTCTGCTGGGACAGAGAAGGGAAGAACAGAGGAACTGAAGCCTCAGGAAACCCTTCCAGATGCATGTTACATGGAGAGCACCTTCTCCTATGATTCTCCAGTCAGCTGCCTCCACATTTCCACCCTGGAATTCCACTGGAAAATAACGGCCTGTGAGCTTCCCATAAGGGGCACCGTCTTTCCCTCTGAAGAACTGCAGCCTTTGCTCAGGCTAAGTGTGTCCCACAAGGGACAAGGATTGGCCCGGTGCACAGAAGCTTCCTTTGGATGCCTCTGGAAGCTGTCACTGACGTCCATGTGAGTGGATCTGAGGCCCAGGCAGGCTCAGCAATGTCAAGGGTTGTGTGCCAGCCCAGCCTCCTGCCCCGGGACAGTGATGACTGCCTAGAAAGCACTCAGGCACCCTCGTTCCAGCCTCTGTGAGCTATTGTCTCTGTTCTACAGATGAGAAACCCAGGTCTTGGAGCAGAGGCCCAGGACCCCTATGCAGCAAAGCCTCTGCTGACTTCACCTCCCGCTGTTTTAAATGCCCCCACTTGTTTTTATTTTGATGCGTGTGTGACACTGCCCGCAGCTGAGCAACTGACAAAAAGGCACATTTTGTTGGAATGGGAAGTCCATTCCAGTGCACCTGCTGCTGCCTTCTAGACGCACGACCCAGCTGCTGTTTAACAGATTCTCTTGCTCTGCTCTTTTGTTAACTCTTCTCAGAAGAAAGTATGTTTGAGACGCTGAAGCAGTCCTGCTCCTAGAACCCTTAGTCTTACCCGCTAGAGTCCCAATGGCTCTATTCTTGTTTTATAATTTCCCTTTGAACACAATTCATCACAGGTATCACCCACAAGTAAGTGACAAGCAGCCACAACCTCTGAGCACGGCTCCCTTCAATAGGAAATGCCTTGTCACTCAGGCAGGCATCCCGGGCACAAACCCCGCTCAGCATGGAAACCCCTCCCTGCATCACCGACCATCGGAGAAATGCAGACCTAATCCACATCAGCATGACTGTTCTCATCAAAGGACAACAGTCACAGGTGCTGCTAAGAATGTGGGGTACCAGTGAGAATGTGAGGAGCTGGGGAAAATGTGGAGTGCTGGTGAGAATGTGGGGAGCCAATGAGAATGTGGGGAGCTGGTGAGAATTTGGGGAGGTGAGAATGTGGGGTGCCAGTGAGAATAAGGGGTGCTGGTGAGAATGTGGGAAGCCAGTGAGAATGTGGGGAGCCGGTGGGAATGTGGGGAGCTGGTGAGAATGTGGGGTGCTGGTGGGAATGCAGGAAGCTGGTGAGAATGCGGGCAGCCGGTGAGAATGCGGGATGCCGGTGAGAATGTGGGGAGCCGGTGAGAATGTGGGGTGCTGGTGGGAATGGGGGTACTGGTGAGAATGGGGGTGCCGGTGAGAATGAGGGGTGCCGGTGAGAATGAGGGGTGCTGGTGAGAATGTGGGGAGCTGGTGAGAATGTGGGGTGCTGGTGAGAATGTGGGGTGCTGGTGAGAATGTGGGGAGCTGGTGAGAATGTGGGGTGCTGGTGGGAATGTGGGGAGCTGGTGAGAAGATGAGGTGCTGGTGGGAATGTGGGGAGCCTGTTCCCAGCACTATCCTCCCCTTCAGAGAGAACAAGGCTAACCCCGCACACGGAACCCTACAGTTCCACAACCCTAAATAACAGTTGTGGTGGAGTCTTCACTTTCAGAACACGCTTCTTTCTCAGGCACCATGGTTGTCATTTTTAAAGGGATAAAACTTGCTCTATGAAGAATGGATCACATATGAAAAGGTGGAGCTAAGAAGGTAAATCAATCTCAGGGTGAAGTATGAGCTTGGAGATGGGCTCAGCACCTGTGGGCCTTCTTCACTGGACACTGGGGCTCAGGCACCCATGGGCCTTCTTCACTGGACACTGGGGCTCAGGGCACCCATGGGCCTTCTTCACTGGACACTGGGCTCAGGGCACCTGTGGGCCTTCTTCACTGGACACTGAGTCTTAGGCACCCATGGGCCTTCTTCACTGGACACCGGGGCTCAGGGAACCCGTGGGCCTTCTTCACTGGACACTGGGGCTCAGGCACCCATGGGCCTTCTTCACTGGATGCTGGGCTCAGGCACCCGTGGGCCTTCTTCACTGGACGCTGGGCTCAGGGCACCCATGGGCCTTCTTCACTGGACGCTGGGCTCAGGGCACCCATGGGCCTTCTTCACTGGACACTGGGGCTCGCGCACCCATGGGCCTTCTTCACTGGATGCTGGGTCTTAGGCACCCGTGGGCCTTCTTCACTGGACACCGGGGCTCAGGGCACCCGTGGGCCTTCTTCACTGGACACTGGGGCTCGGGCACCCGCGAGCCTTCTTCAATGTTCTCCTCATGTCGTGAGACTGCACTTCTCTGGCTTTTGCCCTGGTTCTCAGGTGGACCACCAGGTGTGGCACCTGCACGGCCGCTGCCCGTGACTGCTCCTCCTCTGCTCCTGGGTGAGCTGAGGCAGTTGAGGATGAGATGGCAGAGATTTTCTGCTCTGCTAAGGAGGAGGTTGGGGCGCTCTTCCAAGGCCCTGCAGATGGAGGAAGCATACTCCACTTCCCACTCTCTGCTGAGGGACACAACCTAATTAAGGGTAATTAACCTAACAGTAGGTAAGAGCTGTACCCGGGGCTGCCTCGCTGACATGCCTCTGGCACAGGAGCAAACTGGGGAAGGAGGTGGAGGCCCTGCGACCCAGGACCAGGGACCCAGGACCCCAACCCTTCATGGTGACTCCCGGGACCCCCAACTCTGTGAGTGACAGCCCTGACTGACTGAGACAGAGGTGGCAAATGCCTCAGTCAGGTGAGAAATCATTCGGGTCTCCATTATTGATCTTGCTCAGGATCAGCTACGTCATGAGTTCAAGTCCCTCTGAAGATTCGTGGTTTTACACACGCACCCCTAAGGCATCTGCTCAGGCGCACATATGCCCTGACTTCCCGTCACCAAAGGTTTTTCATAACATACTGTGTTGGTTGTGTGGCTGGATCTCTCTCCCTGTTTACGTGGCTGGTGTCAACCCTCCCTCCACTATTCAGTGCCGTAACATGGCCATGCTGCTCCTGTGGCTGGAACCCTCTCCCAGGTTCTCTTTATATGGCTGGCATCAACTCTCTTTCCAATATTCAGTGCATGCCCCTCTCCAGCCACTTCTCTGAGGCTCCACCGTGGCCATGGCTGGATGCCGTTCCTGCTCCTGAATTGTCCATCACCAGCAACCCTTATCTTAACACGTGGTACCCCCATGGTTCCCTTGGCCATGGCATGAAGGAAATGTGCACACATCTCTTGGTGGTGATTCATGCATGAGGACGAGCCGGTCGACTGAGCAAGCCTGGGTCACACAAGCAAGTACTTTGTGTTCCTGTGATGCAACTTGATGCCGGGCACCGAGAGGGTTCACTTTTAGACGATTCCCACAGCCAAGTCCATCACTGGATCCTGACCAAAGGTCAACTCCGGCCAACTCAGCAGTGGTGGCTGCAGCCCCAACGTGGGTGCTGGGACCTCCCCGGCCACTGAAATAATTTCCAATAAACAGTCAACCACTTGCACACTCCGAATACAGCAGACATCTGCCAGTCATAACCGTTAACCAAGCCTGTACGACGCTGAACCTCAATCCAGATGTCCTCAAAGTTTTCAGCATTGTGGGTCCACATGAACCCGACAAGAGTCCTGCTCCTGGAAGTCTCCAAATACCCCCAGATGACGCTCAGGCAGCCAGGAGGTAAGAAGCACATAGGGCAGGCAGGCCACCGGGCTCACGGCCACCTCCGTTCCATTCTTACCTCCACCAGAGTCAGACTCCAGAGACTAACAGAGACCCCAGAAAACCACACAGACCGCCCCCCCCCCGAGAAACTCACGTGGAAACTCTGTGGAAAACCACAGAGATTCCAGAGACTCATAGAGACCCCAGACACTCATGAAGATCCCAGAAAACCAGAGACTCACAAGGCCCCACGCCCATTTCCTGCCCCATCCCTTCCCCCAGGGCTGTGTTTTCTCCCTCTTTTCCTCCTCCCCACATCACTACTTCTCAACTGTGAAGAGATTCGGCTCCTCTCGGCAAATGCACAGGTGTCTAAACCCGCCATTCGAGGACACCAGGCTCCTTGGGACAAACACACAGGTATCTAAACCCCTGACTCAAATGCACCAGGCTCCTCGGGGTAGACGCACAGGTGTCTAAACCCCACACACGAGGCCACAGCTTCACGGGCTCCCTGGCTGCAGAGGAGGGTCCACACGTGACAGGCCTAGCAGGCAGATAACATTTCCTGAAATCTTATCAGAATTGCACAGACTCGTGCATACCCTTCAGGAGAACACATGTACAAATGTATGATATAAATATATAATGTTAAAAAGAAATGATGTACTGTCTCTAATCACATGAATGGCTTGTATTTCCTATTTAAGAAACTTCATCTCTCTCTGCCATGGATTTGTGTATGGTATGCCAATCACTGAGTAACTCAAGACAGGTGTGTGTGTGTGTGTGTGTGTGTGTGTGTGTGATATTTTATGTATATGGAAATCATATGTAAATATCTAACATATAATTACATAGCTATAATTACACATAATATATATGTAATTTATATACAACTATAATTATATATGCAATTTATGTCATTACACTTGTATGTAGTTATATATTAGTAAAAGCTTGAATATATAACTATATTCAACTGAATATATTAAAATATTCCAATGAATATAACTGAATATTCATGCTTTTACTAATTTACATTATTGAATAAAATGTGTCATATCACATGTATTGTTTGATGATATGATCCCTTTATCTGAACATTTCATGTATTGAATGTTCCTCTATCATATGTGCTGACTCTTATTTATTTTAATTCATAAATCTTTTTTCCTCTTTGTGCTGAAATATATATAATGTGAAATTGACCATCTTGCAGTCTTAGGTGTCAGCTTGATGGTGATGAGGACGTTCTCATCGTCATGTCACCATCTCTGGAACTCTTCCATCTTCCCAGATTGAGCCTCTATCCCTGTGAGATTCCCCACTTTGCCCCCAGCCCCAGCACCGCCCGTCTGCTTTCCGTCTTTGTGAGCCTGCTAACTCTGGGTTCTCCTGTGAGTGGGTCACACTGCAGGTGTCCTTCTATGGCCAGCCTGTTCACTGAGCTTCATGTCCTGAAGGTCTGTCCATGATGTAGCCTGTGGTGGAATTCCCGTCCTTTTTAAGGCTGAATAATATTCCACTGTGTGTTCAGACTCTTCTGCAAGACAGTTAGGTTACCTGCTTTCTTTCCAGTCATGGAGAAGCTACTTTCAAATGCCATTCACAAGAAATCTCCAAGAAAAGTACTCTAAAAGCTTTAGGAGGGGCACAAGCACAACACACTCACCTCCAGGGCTGTTGTTGATAACAAAGGGGGAGCTCAATTACTGACTCTACAAGCACAGCATACCTTGGACAATGAAGGCCCCTCTGCTCCTGGCCTTGGCCCCTACCCTGTGCTGGGCCCTTGTTGGATTTTAAGGAACTGTTTTCCCAGTTCCATCTGACAACGCTCCCAGAACACCCAGGCTGCACACTCACAGACATTTTATTTCACTTAACATTTGCATCTGCCATGCCCTTCAGGGCAGCTTCAAATGGCTAACATCACAGTGAAGATGCTGTTCAGGCTCTTCTGGCCCTTGAGCAGTAGACATGGGCTTGCAAACACCAGGAGCCCCGGAAGAAGCCCCAGGTGGGACCGGCGCAGGAAGCTCAGCACGTCTTCCCAGTCACCAGAGGTGACGTGGGTAAAATAAATGTAACTGGCATTGCTTATCTTTAAAGTTTCACTGGGAAAGCTATAAAGCAATTGAAATGCTATGGTTAAAATGAGAGGCTTTAAGAAATTGATTTTTAAATGCTATCATCTATAAGAAATTGAATCCATTTTCAAGGTTAGTCTATTTCTATAAAGCACACAATTTCTCAGCAGCACCTCCTTCCTAAAAGCTCTGTCCTACCAAGCAGATCAAGCACAGAGAGGGAATGAAGTCAAAGGGGCTGAAATGCCACACACATGCCAAGTTCACACGCATGCCAAGTTCACACCCGTCAGTCATGATCCTGACACCTATCCTCTGAAATATGCCTGCTAAGTGTGTGACCCACCTTCATTTTCTTACAGAGTAATTCCCGTGTATCAGAGAGGACACATTCTGAGACACCCAGGGCGTGCCTGAAACTGGGTAGACACACACACACACACACATCCTAACACACGTTTTTCCCTGCACATACTGTACCCTGTGGATGTGCTGGACAAAGGAACGATTCATGTCCTGGGCAGGGCAGGGCAGGGCAGAGCAGGGCAGCACAAGATTTGATCACAGCACTAAGAACACTGTGCAATTCTAAACTTATGACTTGTTCTTTTCTAGAATTTTCCATTTTATATTTTCAGAGCTCAGTTGACCTTGGGTAACTAAAACCTTGGGAAGCAAATCCCTGGTTGTGGGGGGGGCGGGGCGCTACCAGTACGAGCTTTATGGCACAACAGAGGGAAGATGTTTTCATTGGAATAAGGATTTTGAATGCATGTCTATGGGTCTTAAGAAGGAATTATCACATTTAAGTGAATTATCTTCAGAATCCCAAGGACTGGGTAAATAGAAAAGACCTGCGGCGTTTCTAAATACTGTACAACTAATTACCAATGTCTAAATGTCAGGCTACTGATTTCAAACAAGCGGCCCACTTAATTAACATAGAAATCTCGGGGCAGAAGACGTTCCCCACCTCTGAGGCTTGCTTCAAACCTTCATGTAGAAACATGTCTGTAACACTCTTCCTCATTCTCCTGGTAGCTCCTGAAAGGGACAGAGTCCCTCCTCTAATGAAGAGGTGCCACTGCGAACAAGCGGTAGCACAGGCCATAAGCTTCTGAGGGCTGAGGCTGCGCCGAGTTTACGTATCAGCATGTCAGCGTAGACCGGGTACATCCCCGCACATCTCAGGCACTCAGTGATTCGTTGAATGAAACTGCTGAGCAAAGATCAATGGCTGCTCCACACACACGAGACACACATCTCCACAGGGCAACAGGTGGCTCCCGGTTTTCTTTTCATTGTTGTGAAGGTTAAGAAGCTGAGGACAGAAATATTAACTCCCTGAAGCCCTCTGCAGGAATTCATCGTGGTTACTATGATTTCAGAGAGATCTGAAAGCACAGTTGGGAAAACTACTAGGCATGTGGGCACTTTCGAAAGCAGGAAGCCAGGAGCATGGAGAGGCTGAGAACTGAGGTTATTTTAGTATTTTCTGCCTTCAAAAAATCTCTTTGAAATGATGTAAGGACAGTATTTTCTGAAACGCACACGAGCCCCAGCAGAGTGAGCCATGAAATGTGCCCTTTTCCAAATGAACAGACTGTTGGGGTGAGCACGTAACCCACTTATGACGCACGTTTTAGCAACACATTTGGTAAACAGCAACAGCAGAGTCATTCTGTGATTTGTGTGATGTTTAAAGTGAGGATGAAGGCCCTATCGGGAGCCTGGTGTGGACTGCTGCGTCTGCGGGTGGCCGTCGCAGGGTGGAGCCAGCCCCCTGCACCTGTCCTCCCTGAAGGCCAGCAAACCCCAGCTGCATTCTCAGTTGCTCCATGCCTTGAGAAACATTCTCATATTTGGCCACAGAGTTGTAAAAGATCATCCCTTTTTGTAAAAGACCCAGGAGGCCCTCGTGAGGAGGAGCCAGTCACATGTCAGGTATTCCCAAAAGTTCCAGAAGCATGTTCCAGCGCTGAAGGTGAACACTCACTGTTTGGGCATCTTATTTGCTATTTCACATAGAAAGCAATTCACTTCCAATTTAGCTTCCAAATGGAAAGCATATTTTTGGTAAGAAACTGGTATGTGGAGGGGATTCTGCAAGGTCCATGCAGAGGACGCCAGGGTTCACCGCAGCTCCACGGCCCAAATGTTCCGCGTGTGCTCCTGGGGAGGGATGTGTGTCCCATGGTGCTGTCGACGTTTGCTGAGAGCAAAGCTGTGTTACAAACTGAGTATAACTCACTGCAGTCTTCTCTTCAGATCAAAACCATTCAAAATGGTAAGACAAGAGGCAGAAACATAGACGGCCATGTGATCGAGCTTAACATAAACCACTAAGCACACTCAGTCAAGACAGAATGAACATGACACAAAGGCCTGTCCCGGGCTCCCAGCCAGACTCTCCTGAGCACAGGGCATGGCCTCACCCCGGAGAGTCTTCTCGCTGCCACAGAAGGTGAGTGCTGCTGCTTCTCCTCTGTCTGGCACACTGTTCCCTAAAGGTCTTGACGATGAATATGGCCCGGAATGCATTTAAATGCTGGTGCCCTGAGCCCTCACACAAACCTCCTACACCCACGTTTCCATAGGAAAGGTTTGAGGCAGGACTTGGAAAACCTAGCTTTTATAAGTGGCCCAGATGCTTCTAAGAGCTTGGGAAATAATCAATAGTCCTGCTTTGGCAGCAACCAAGGAAAGTCAGCCACAATCAACAGCATGAAAACGGGTCCAGTTAACCCCAAACACGCCTGGAACACTGTTTACACACCTGTGTGATACAACTGGGAACACCATCCAGGGCAACTTCATTTCTAAGCAAACCAACCTTCTCAAAAACATTTACACTGAAGATTTTCTTCATTTAACAGCTAGATCTTGATTCCTTAAAAAATCATTACTTTTTCAAAAAAATATGCAGTTCTCTAAAATTGTTAGGCAGTTTCGGCGTCAAATTTGGCCAGAGCCTACTCTCCGGGGAAGAGCGTGCATTCACTCGGCAAATACTTCTTAGCCATCTCATGCTTGGTCCGCACTGAAAAATAAATAAGCTCTTACTAACGCATGCAATTGCTTTATTGCCTATTCACTCTGTATTCTAGAATTACGAGCTTTTTAAATTACAAAAAGAAAAAGACAGGTAAGAGTACAGCCTCTGTAGAGCTTTCTTCTCCAGCACCGCACTGTTCTGCCATTGGACACGACAAACTTGACAATCACACAGTAATCACAGCTGCCCCTCAGTGTGTGCCCCGGATGCGCGCCCAGTGCTTGGACACTGGTTTACCTGCAAGACTCCCAAGCCTCACAACAGCGTTGATGGTGGCACTGCTCACCCATTACTAAAATTAAAGCAAGAGGGCTCAGGAAAGTCACCAGGAAGAAGACTCTGAATCATTTTACCCAGCAACCCCTGTGCTCAGTGCCGGGAAGACAAGGTAACCAGAAGCAGCCTGGACGCAGGATCCCAGCAAAGACGCCCCATGTCAGGGGCACCTCAGGCGAGGGTGGCTTGGGGTCAGCTGGTGACAGGGGCGGGACCAGCCTCACACCCAGAGTGTGCAGAGAGCAGGTGGTGGGGAGACAGCGGTTCTGCAGATTTTGGTTCTAAACCTGTCTCTCTGTTCTTTGCCAAAGTGGCACTAATGCAATGATGAGGGCCTCCATTCCTGTGCTTTTACGACTGATTTAAAAACAACAAGCAAAGGTTGACCATGGCGTCTTCGTCTCCTTCCTGAAGGAGCACCAGGCTG